GACTATGAAGCTACCAAAATTGCTCCTGATCTCATGAGCACAAGGTGAGGAGTTTATAGAATGTGGCCATCTGTTAGAAACACAGAATGTTACTATTTCAGATTTTTTATCCTGGCTCTACAATGCCATAAGAGGCAACAGGCAGCAAAAAATACATTTAAAATTTAGCACATGCGTTCTGCTAAAATTGAGTGTTTTTACTCAGAAGTTGAGTCCTGCCGAAACCGGTTTGGCTCAGTGGATAGAGCGTCGGCTTGGGGACTGAAGGGTCCCAGGTTCGATTCCGGTCAAGGGCATGTGCCTGGGTTGCGGGCACATCCCCGGTGGGAGATGTGCAGGAGGCGGCTGATCGATGTCTCTCTCATCGATGTTTCTGGCTCTCTGTCTCTCTCCCTTCCTCTCTGTGGAAAATCAATAAAATATATTAAAAAAAAAAAGTTGAGTCCTGAGAAAATGTTTCATAAAATATGAATGTCTCCATGGCAGCCTTCTCCCAACTGACATCCTGTAGAAGTATTTTTCTCTTTTTCTTTTGTGCAGGAGATATTTTAATAGCAGCTAGAAATTTGTTATTCTACTGGCAAAGAAGACGAATTCCTACCCTCAAGAAATTTTGCATTATGGATAATATAACGCTTTTTGTCCCCATTGTTCAAAAGGGTATTTGCAACTATAAGCTTCTAATCCAGCCGTGGGCAAACTACGGCCCGTTTGAAATGAATAAAACTAAAAAAAAAAAGACCGTACCCTTTTATGTAATGATGTTTACTTTGAATTTATATTAGTTCACACAAACACTCCATCCATGCTTTTGTTCCAGCCCTCCGGTCCAGTTTAAGAACGCTTTGTGGCCCTCGAGTCAAAAAGTTTGCCCACCCCTGTTCTAATCCATGTCACATTTGATGTCATCAACAATTTCTTTTTCCAAAGTGATAAGGAAAAAGATGTGACATCTTCAGAAAACCAGGCAAGGAATCACTGGACTCAATCAGCACATGTAGTATTAAGTTACATAGATCAAGGTACAACTTGAATTACATGCAATTCATATGAATTTTATGAATTACATTAAAATAACATCTTAAAATTATCAGGAATGTTTCACTTAATTATTTGGTCTCTAGTGGAATGGCTGAGTTACTTGGTTTTCGTCTAGTCTTCTCCTTTGTGAGCTATCCTTTTTTTAAATAAAATTTATTAATGAAATATTGTTATTTATCCATTGCTGGTTGATTCTTGTATGTGCCCTGAGAATCTAACCTGCAACGTTGGCGGATCAGGACACTCTAACCAAACTGAGCTACCTGGCCAGGGCTCAGCTGCCCTCTTGTCAACATACCTATTAATATAAGTATTTCCAATTTGTTATGGGCTGGTTGACCAAATTACCAAATTTATTAGAATTATTTCTAAAGAAATTGTGTGTGTGTTTAGGGGCAAGAACAATTTTCTTATGAATAAAACACTGAAACTGCTTAACAGTGTTTGCCTTCTGTTGTAGTGGCCAAGAGACATTCTTTAATAATTCACCTACCTGTTTGTTATTCCACTTATTTATGCAT